CTCAAGCTGAATTCAAGTGAATTTGGGGAGAGTGGAGGGAGGGAGGGATGTCTGAGTCTATATGAAGTCTTACGTACAATTTTGCAGTATTCATCCATAAAGATTTTGATTGTAACTCTTCATGTTTTGGCTCTATATTTGCTGCTCTTTATCTAATGATGCTGTTTCAGTAAATTTCACTGAATATTGACTATTTTTTGCCTAAAAGGAGTGATAGGAAGATGCATGGAGGGGAGGGGGAAGTTAAAACATTTTTCTTAAAGATCAGAAGGAGATGGAAGGGTTTGAATAGGTAAGTAAAACCTATTGCAAATAATGCTGTGGATTTAGTCAGTAGTTGGAGACTCCTCTGCACCAAGATTAAAAAGTGGGAAATCTGTAGCTCTGTTCTGGCATGTTTTAGTCATAAATGCTGTGGTTGTGCTCCTAGGCCAAACAGAACTTCCAGTGTAAATGAAGTTGTGGAAAACGGGACTGATTCTGAATTTTGAAGGGTATACATAATCTCTTTCTATTAAGAGAAAAGATACATTTGGTCATATTTCCACTGTAGAGAAGTAATCTCTTGTATTTTTGAATAGCATCAATGCAGTGAATTCACTGTTTTATTGCTGTTTATGCCCTTGTTGTAGGACCGAGTGTATGTGCAACAAAACAATGTGGAGAATGTCTACAACTTGGGCCTGATAATTTTTCGAGATCAAGTCGTACGTTACGGATGCATCAGGGATCACCTGAGGCAAACCCTGCTGGATATGATTGCAAGAGAGAGGAAAGGAGAAGTTGTAGACAGGTAAGATGTTTGTAAGTGAAGTCTTTTGTTGTAAATGTTAACTGTCAGTTTTTAAAGAGTGACTCCAGAACATACACAGATAATATTATTTATGACCACATTTGTGATCACAACTAAAATTTCTTCTTATTCTGGAGTTAATGTATTTTTTTGTGTATTATATTTTAGCATAATGATGAACAGGGAAGCTTGTTAATATATTTTTTAATATTTATATTGTGTTTTTTTATTACAAATTTAACAAATGTCTCAATTATCACACTGTGCCAGAGCACTTGATTACAAAGCAGAATTTTGGCAATTTTCTGCATCTTCCTAACTTGTATTTCCTCTGTACTCAGAGGTTATTTAATTTTCTTGTATCTTTTCATTGTTTAATTTATGATGCTTCCTCTTTTAATTCCAGTTCCTTTTCCTCATGTTCTGATCAATTTGTGTCTGAGCAGTTCAGTTACATCTCTAAGTTTTAAATCTGTTTCTCAGCTTCTTTGGTCAGTTTAATAGAAGTAGTTTTGTACTACCCACTGCAGATACTGCAGCTGAAGGAACTGCAGATTTTCAAGTTTTCTTGTGCTTCTCCAGTTTCAGAACAGCTGTTGTATGTAGGAATATGTAAACTCCTTGCTGCATTTCTCTGACTAATATTGCCCAACATGCAATTCAGGAAAAGAAAAAGACTCCCCAGCTACAGCTGTGTATTGTCCCCTACTGCCAGAAAGTGGAATCTTTTCCTAGCTGCAGTTCTTTAGTTTTAATATACTTGCTGGTATATTTGAATTTTGGAGGTGTTTATTTTGTGTTCATTTAGGGGTTTTTTTCATTTTTTTTACATTTTTGTGTGGTTTTTTTAAAACAGCCATCCAGAAACCTCAAACTTGGTATAGCAACTTCCACATGTGCAGTTTTGAAGTTGCAGTTGCTCAGTTCTGACCTATGTGTGCAGTTTTCCTTGAAGTAGTATTTTGGGTTAATTTCTTATATATCAATATATATTCTTCATCATTTTATGACTTAGTAGAACTTGAGGCATGTGTCTCTGTCACAGTATTTAAAATGCTTAATAAACATTGTCAGCTCTTTTTCTTGCTCATGTAGTGGTCTTGAAAATGTCATATACTGAGCAGAGTGGAATGGACTTTCTATTACTACCTGTCATTAAAGTTAATATTGTCTTATGAGTTTGTATTCTGCTGTGTAATCTGTCTTAAAAGCACATAGATTTCTCAAGTTGTTCACAACTTACTTTTTGGCAGAGGCGCAATAAGAAATGCTTGCCAGATGTTAATGATTCTAGGTCTTGAAGGAAGGTCAGTCTATGAAGAAGACTTCGAGGCTCCATTTTTGGAAATGTCTGCAGAATTTTTTCAGGTACAGCAATATTCTAATACCATATTTGGAATGTTGTTATAACTCTCTGGAGCTGTCAGATTTGGTGGTGCTTTACATACTTGGTGCTTTTTTGATGAGTATGTCCATCTCCATTAAATGAAATAAGAAAAATAATAACTTTGCAAGAAGTAGTAACATAGATTTTAGAGAAT